CCTGTGCTCATCTGGGTTCCCTCCGTGTTCCTCCCACAGTCCAAAAGCATGCTGGTAGGGTAACTGGCTTCTAGGGAAATATGCCCTACATGTGGCTGTGAGTGTGAATGTGCCCTGCGATGGACTGGAGTCCTGTCCAGGGTGTACCCTGCCTTGAGCCCATTTCTTGCCGATACAGACTCCAGCTCTACCTCGACCCTGAATTGGATGAAGCTGTAATAACATGGATGGGGCCTAAACACATCTGCACTTCACTTTGCACTACTGTGGCTGGCCTGAAGTCCCTTTACACCTGGAGTGCCACTCATTCAAGAATGAAGATCAAATTGTTAGCTCAGTGTTTATTATACTAAGCATCAAAGGAAACGCTTTCATTAATTATCTATCAATATCATGAATAATGACTAATGACACAGAATACATGATTTAATATAATGTGAGCCCTAACTCACCTGTTCATGGAGAGCACTGGTCAGCTCACGAAGTGGTGATCTGTCCTGTGGAATAACAAGCCTAGTGAAGATCAGGAAAGAAAAGCACAAATTAACCCATATGCCTTACACATCAAGACAATGCCTTCCTGTCACTGGTATGTGGAGGCCAGATTGTTCACTGTCTTCTACTGTTCTACAGTAATTTCTGTTCAACATCATTTTCTAACCCACCAAGACATCACAGACAAACACCATGAGGCCCGAGTGTGACAGTCTAGCTGCTATCAAACTCCTCTTGTAGTGTTTGATGGCACCCTGGCTGCACGGTGCTACATGCCCATGTCCTGGGTCCTCACTACCTGGCCTTCATGCAGACTCATCCTGAAGTGACAACATGCCAGCAGGACAGTGCATGTTCTCCTGCTGCTCTTGTAAACCCAGCTGACGTGCAGGATGAGAACCAGACAGTCAAAGCCACGAAGGCCCTACTCACCAGACGAAAGCTCTGCTGAACACGTAGATTTCAGTGACCAGCGAACAGGCACGTGCTTGTCCGGGATCTGGGAGAGAGAACCGAATCCCTCCAGAAAGTGACCACACCACGCTGCAAGACAGGCACTGCAGATGTGCAGCTTGGAATGTGTGTCCACACACGACACTAGCATGCGGCTTTCAAAGGAGACCCCCTGTTGATGAGAAACATTCATCAGTAAGCACTAATCAGAACTGACCTATAATAAAATAAATAACAGTGCACCAGCTACACAAACTGCCATTTTCCTGACGACTAACTGCAGCAAAATGGCTGCTTTTCTTACCATTTTATATTTGAAAATCGCACCACGCCGATAATTCCGAACAATGCCCAACAATGCCAAAAAAAATTATCATTTACTGGTCCCAACACCTTCAGGTCTCGGTTGCAGCAACTGGATGGGACACAGAAGTTCTGCAAAACAACACCAATAAAAATGCATTAGTATTCAACAAGGTTTGGCTAAGAAAATGGTTTCAACTCCTCTCCTTGCCGAGAGAAACTTCACTCCCGTTCAAACAGCACAGAAATGCACTGTTCATTCAATAAAAGGACA